GTCTGGTTTATGAGCTCGTTGCTGTCCTAATTTAGGATCTTCTTTTTAATAAATAATTGAAAATGTTAAAAGAGAGAGAGAGAAAGGGGGCCCGGTGAGGATGTTTCTAAGTTAAAATATTGTTACGTATCTGCTTGTTTGTTTGTTTCAGGTAGAAATGCTTCCCGAGGATCTTCAGTGATACAAGTCCTTTCTTTATTAAACCAGTTTATTATTCCTCGATACAAACTTTTAGTACACAGTAGTTCCACAATCCGTACGTTTCTCGTCACTTTAAACTTAACAACTTTTATAATACACACTATAAATCACAGTGATTCACAATCTCGATAACTTCACTCTCGACGAGTGCAAAACATAAACTTTATGGCTCACTAGCTCGAAACTAACAGAATCATAAATTACACGAAACTCAAAGTAACTACTGCTCTCTCTTCATTCATTTATCCCGCTGGCTTTTTCTGCCAACTCTTATATACCAACAAAGAGGGCATCTCGATCACACTCGGACTTCCCCGATCGTTCGAGAAACTCATCAGCGTCACTTGACTTCCGCTGTTGTAACAATATTCTAGCTTGTTAATATCGGTAATTTGAGTTTCTAATTCGTAAGAAACTATAGACTTTGTATTTGGACATCACAAACACCTAATTTGAACCAATGCTGCATTTAATATACCACATGACACACAAAAATCGATATTTAGGTGAGTTCTGATAATATGTACTTTTAAATTAAGAAAATACTAAAATTTGAATTACAGTCTACAATTTCATACTAAGCTTATTGACATAAATTCATAAAATAGTAGTTGAATAAATATTTGGATGTAAGTCGACAAACGCGATGATATGGCCTTTGACCCGTAATGATAGGGTTAATCCTATCCAACTTTATTCACTATTATGTCATCTTCTCATTAATTAATCCGGATTAATTAATTCATGGATTAATTCTTATTTAAGCAATACTTCTCGTTTACATATTTTATAGGTATCTATGCATTTATATATAGCAGATTTGTTTGTCTGTCTGGTGTTTTGGCGTCACAAGTTGCTAAAAGTAACGGGCTGAAACAATTTATATAAAATTTGGTAGAGGAACTCAGGTGAGCCGTTCAAAGATCGATTTTAAATAATTAAGTAATTGAGAGGGCAGTTTGAGCTTAGAAGCAATTTTACTTTTTCACAAGAAACAAAAATCTAAACACCTGGGACAATAAACTAAATATCAATTTAAAAGAACATCAACTGAAATAATAGCAACAGCCCGACGTTTCGACTACCAGTGGCAGTTATTTTCAATTGTCAGATAAACTGTGGTAGCTTTATCGGTACTGAAATTTAAATAGTGCCATCTACACGCTTGATCTCAACGGTAATAAAGGTTTGTACATTTGAGCAAGGGGTGATGACCAGTATACCTGTTAGCAAGAGTTGATCTGCATTTGTTATAAGCCATTCTTCCAGAAAAAAAACAACAAAACAAAAACGTTGTGAATATAATTTTGTTCTGTCTAAAACATTTGCAGTTCTCCTAATGGTAAGTTAAAGAAACATATTCAGCCAAAGCAGATGAGAAATATTCATTACCACAGTTGTATCCAGAGCTTAAAATAATTATGTTTTACGTCACAATTCCACACAGTCTGGTTTATTTACTTTAGAACACCGTTTGACAAGACAAATTATTCTCATCTCTCTTTGTTATTACAATACAAGCTGTGAAACTCACTTTAGAAATTACCCATTACAGCTAAACTCTAAAGTCTAAATTCACTTTTTTTTCACTTTTACTAACTTGGTCACTTATTTATATATATATATATTGCCCGACTGAGACCTAGAATTTTCTACAAAGTACGAGACGCTACGATGTAACAACACTCACTTAAAGCAACGAGAAAAATCCAGAAAGTTTGAGTAACATGATGTCAATTCCAAACAAGTGAATACACAACAAATGATTCATAAACAGTTACGTGAGCAAACTTGCCATAACTATCACTTCTAAAATAACTTACATTAACATTCACAAAGTATAAACTAAATAATACTCTCGTATTAAAATTAAAATGAACAGTCCTGTAAATCTAACAAATTGCCTGTTGAGTGAAAAGAGGGGACGTTTCGAGTTTTATAATGAGATCTCGTACTTGAAACAAAAACAGTCATGTTCCATTCATAGAATAAAGAAAATTTCACTATTTTTTTTACAAAAACCAATAATAACTCTAACTATCAATGAAGAATGAGTTTAATACTTTATAATACAAAATCAATAAATGTTTGAAATGCTAGTTGATGTTGGACGTCATTATCAAAAGTAAAGTATTACAACATTTAAAAGTTAGGTGCCCCAGGTTTTATAAACATAGCTTTTTGGCACTTTTGCCATTCTTACATCTAGTTTTTTAAAGTTTCATTTAGACTAAACACGTTTATATGTAATATAGTTTTAATTTGGCATTATTACAATATTTTATTCTGAACACCTTTTGCACAGAAGACTAAATGGTGTCTCTACTTTATGTTCATTAGTATATATCTTAATCATGGAATAGAAACATTAAGCAGGTCCAAAAGCTCTATCTTGGTTTGTTTTAGTTCAGAGCTACACAATGGGCTATATATGGTCTGTCCAATGTGGAGAATAGAACCCAAATTTCAGCATTTTAAGTCTGTAAACTTATCGTTGACCTAACGGTGAAAAATCAAGTATGAACATGGCTCCTGTTTCGAACGATACCACTAAAACGAGTTTTGTACAAAATGTGAAAACTTCTAAGTGTTATTTTGTAATAATATAGTGCAGGGTACAGTGGTGGAAAAATTTATTACACCAACCATTTTTTTCACACTTTCTTCTGAATCTTCGTCTGATTTGAGGCCCTCATGCATGTAGGTGCAAATGTGTTTCATGGATACTACAATAATACCTAATTATTACATTAGCAGCTTTACAGGCTTTCTGGGTATTGCATCAGCTATTTTTGGCTATAAACAGGGGTTCTTATTGAGAGTCAGTTTACAAGTCTATCTGATAAAACATGCACAGTATGCTACATGGTCCAGGGTTGTGAGTTAGCTCCACAAAAAAAAAAAAACAACAGTCATTGTTTCTTTGCGCAAAGAGGGACTTCGACAAGGCAGATTGTTAGAAGAATTGAATTTAACCAGTCTACTTTGCGTTGCTGGGTACTGAGGTATAGAGAGATTTGCTGTGTGGAACAGCAGAAGGGAAGAGGTAGAAATAAAGCTTCCACAGCAGCTGATAATCATGTTGCAAAACACATGAGTCTAGAGAATCGTCAGCTGTTGTCCACAGATCTTAAGAGAGCATGGTAGGAAACTTCGGGGGTCACTGCATGCACCATCCATTATCACCTGTGTTCAGCCAGTTTCCCAGCAAGATGGCTAAGAAAGGAACCCCCTCCTCATCACAAGATGAGGAAGATGAGGCTAAACTGGGCCACAGATAATGCTAACAGGATTAAAGCAATTTGGAGCAAAATGGTCTTCTGAGACAAATCAACCTGCACAGATCTTATGGGAAGTACTTCGCATGATGCTAATGTAGAGAAGAGATTCATTCATTGTGTTTGATTTCAAGTTTGAAACATCCACAGAGTCAGATGATATGGGGATGTATCTTTCGCTAGGGTGTAGAACAGCTGCATTTTGTGAAAGGTATTGTCAATGTCGACAAGTAAGTCGAGATCATAGAGTCCCAGTTAAACCCAACAATTTAGGATCACTTTGGTGAAGCTGATCAGTGTACATTCCAAGATGAGTCTGTTCCATGTCATAGAGCTACAAAGGTTGGTAATATTTATGCATTCTATGCAGTAGACGTGCCCCTCTTCGGTGTCTTTTGTTTCTCTGTCGTGTCTTACAATAATGTAATTGTTTATATTAAATCTGTTGTTTGTTCTTCAATGTCTCCCTGATTATTATATTATCCGCTTTGGTGTAACTTATTAGGTCTTCGATCTAATACCGCTTGGAAGTTATACCATCTTGGATGTTGACGTGGAGAACTGTGAAATTATTCATTGTTTGCGAAAAGATAACAGTTTGTTTGGAATGAAGCACAAAGCTACACAATGGGCTATCTGTGCTCTGCCCACCACGGGCATCGAAAAACCCGGATTTTAGCGTCGTAAGTCCACAGACATAGCGCTGTACCGGTGGGAGGCACGAAAAGATAAGCTGTCATTTCTGATATTATTAACAGTAATATCTGTGTAAGTTGTTTCTTTGCGATGTTTGTCATTATTGTTGTTAAATTTTTTAGTTCCGGGTTGCTGATTTCTACGACAAATTCATATTTTTCAAAATATTCATGAAGTGGTCTGTTTGTTGTTCCTGATCGTTTTTGTTTTGTTTTTTGTAGTTTTATTTTCTTGGTTGTTTCATTGGAGACTACTGTTGCACGTGTTTTGGTGATTTCAGTGTTTTTAGGTGTTCGTAGGAGAGGTCGCAGGTAGTGTTGGCTGTGTATATGTGGTGTGTTTTGTTTGTTAGCGTCTTTCTATACCTGTTAAGCTTGTGTGTTGTTTTTATTATAAATATGTTTGTTTTACTGGTTTTAAATTACTGCATCCTTTATAGTTTGCACTGTGATGTTCATTACAATTACAGCATTTTGGTTGATCGTGTTTTAGAGCATTGTTGCACATCATGGTTTAAACCACAAGCAACACATCTTGGCTGTGGTTTACAGGTCGCCGCTACGAGACTCCAAATAATGGATCGCAATTATATTTTTAGCGGTAATCAAGTGCGAAACCCAGAACCTCGGATCTACAAGCCAGGACACAACCACGTGCCCCAATTAACAATTTTAATTCAAAATTTATTTCTAAAATACGAACAGAAATATTAACTTTGAATATTAAACTTTTGAAACTGCGGATACAAAAAATGAAATGAGTACTTTTGGTTTGGTTTGTTCTGAATTTCGCGCAAAGCTACACGAGGGCTATCTGCGCTAGCCGTCCCTAATTTAGAAGTGTAAGACTAGAGGGAAGGCAGCTAGTCCTCACCACCCACCGCCAACTCTTGGGCTACTCTTTTAGCAACAAATAGTGGGATTAACCGTCACATTATAACGACCCCACGGCTGAAAGGGCGAGCATGTTTGGTGTGACGGGGATTCGAACCCGCGACCCGCAGATTGCGAGCCGAACGCCCTAACCATCTGGCCATGCCAGGCAAGTACTTTTGAAAAGGTACTAAGGAAAGGCTAATCAGATGTTGCTCCAGAAATGTTATCTCAGGCTAAAGCCATGCCAAGATATTCCAATTTCTTCAAAATTAATATAAATAAAATAATGTCCTTAAAATCGTTTCAAGCCCACCCCTTTTTTTTATACAATTCCCCGGGTTGTTTCTTTTTAAACACAGATGTACGCAATAGGCTATCTACACCTTCTGACTTGCCGTCGTGCCACTTGGGCCTCTTTTTGAAGTTAATTGAATTTGTTTTTCAGCCCTGGATAGTTGAAATAATGCGACATTTTTGTGAGTATAAATGACTGAAACATCATATTTTTCTTTTACAGAATCTAAAATGATAGTGAAAATGGACATTTTACACTTGATTCACATACTCACATTGATATGCTTATGTTCGTTCATTCATGCATAAGTATATAATATCTGTTCAAAATAAGGGACAAATATGAGCAACAATCAGCATATCAAACCCTACAGATACATTTAGCACCTTATTAACACTATCAGTATTGCGTCTCATCTCCTTTAGAATGCTCCTTCTGCACTTCTTGCCAAAACTAGATGCTAGAATTTTGCTCTTTTGTCACAAAAGTTGTAGATCATAACTTTAAACTGTCCTGTTTACCTCTGAATGAGAATTCCAAAGGTATCTTTTTTCCACATTTCAAAAGAATATAAAGTCTCATTTCTTTCAGAATGGAAAGTTTATTTCATCTCTCCCCTTATGTTTTTTTGCCGAATGTCACAAATATTCTCTGCTCCTTACCACGCTGCTTTCATACGCATGCATAAAGACTGAACTTTGTGTTGCTAATTTTTCTTACGCTTAGTGATGGTGGTGCAGATTAAAAGGCAAACTTGAAAAGTGCTCTTTGTTCCTTGGTTTATTTATTTCGGAATTTAAATCCTGAAATACTTATTGCAACAAGGAGGCAAGTCTGATACAAGCAGGAAGATTAGACTGTAGAACAACTGCTTCTTGGCTCGACCATCTGGAAGTGAAGATGATGAGAATATTTTATACTTGTCAGTTGATTCAAGCAGTTAGAGAGGCGTCAGTGGTATAAAGCATTAGCCCCAGTACAACAGATGACTGAAAATCACATCAAATAACTTGAACTGTCCCTATTAGATGCAGCCACCAGTAACTGATGGCTAGACAGATTCAGTTCATGTTATCAGCCACTGATGAAATAACAAACACTTGTGCAGTCCAATTATGCCTCCTCTACACATGCCAATGCACAGTAGTCATGTCATGGAAGTAGTGTATTATCCAACTAGTTATGACCCACAAAATAACTGTTATCTTTGATGTATAGGTGATTGTGCAATAGTCAATGATCTCATATAACCGTGCAGGCATTGACCAGACAATTCTAAAACAAGTTTTAATAAAAACCTTCACCATAAAAATTCTGTCCATATTATCTTGCTGCTTAGGATTTATCATGAAAGAGAAAAAAAAAAAGTTATATTTACACCATTCATCTGCTGTTCATACAAGAGTTAAAACTAAACAGTATTCCCTATAAGAAACATTAAAAAAAAATCCTATCTACATACTCTTTTTTTTTTAAAACCATTATTGCAGGAAATAACTTGTTATTGGTAGGTCTAAATACTTATGAGGCATATCATATTCACCAATACATCATGTAATTACTAACAAACAATCAACACTATTCAATAGACACATAATTTATTTACTGATATTTATCTATATATACATCAAGTACTTATAAATATTTCTCAAAAGGCACATTGAGTAATTACTGATTTAGAAAAACTCTTAAAAATTGGGTAAACATCACAAAGAATAAATTTAAAACTTCAATGTTTTTCACATATAAATATACTGGTCAAGATTAAAATCCAAACAGACCAATAATACTGTTAATCATGTGGTAGTACACAAACTAATTCAAAGTGAGCAATATTTTCTTCTGTAACTGGAATGGTTAAAGCTATTGTGTTTGAGCGAAATTTACAAAATACTATTCTGTTGTACAAATCCATTATGGCATAGTTGAACCTTATGTATTTATTTGCAATCAGTAATAGCTAACATTGCTACTACAAACTGCTGTGTTATTGAGATCACGTATAAAGTGAGATCATAATCTACCATCATTCATTTGAAACACTCTAATAAAAATAAATATAAAGGTATTACACAAAAATCCAGAAGAACAAGAACCAAAGAGGACTGAAAAGTGGGTTTGCCAAAAAAAAAAGTGTGTGTAAAGAATTATTTAATCTCTATAAGACTGTTATTTTAATGTTTTTCACATATGAGTCTTTGAGGTTTAACATCCTGATCTGCACTTACAGATGCATTACTTATTAGCCAAAGATCAATTTAAAGACCTAAAAAGGATGAAGCACTTTTAACCTAAGAATTTACTCAAGGAAATTACTCAGTACTCCAGATTTTTTTTCTGTAATGAGTAATCACTCCCAGAATTCTGTCAGTGGGAGTAATTTTAAGTTTTTTTTACAATGTGCAACAGTAACATTTTGTGATAAAAAGTAACTTAGCTATTTATGAATTATTTTACCATTTCAAAAGGTAAAATTTGGCACAAGATTAATTTATCAAATTAAATCACCAGATGTAATCATAATAAAGACAAATAATGACATCACAACATTTTCTTTTATTTTTTTACACAAAATTGGATCATTCATCAGTGCACCAATAGAAACTTCTGGAAGCTATAGTACTTATTTTTCCAGCTCTATTGAGAGAACTGCAGAAAGCTACAGTAATAAATGTGTCCATTAATTACTGTACTACCGTTAAAGTGGCAGGAGCTGTATTAGTTTTCCATGGCAGTAAAACAACTTTTCAATATTTTTTAAGGCCATAAATCGTTTGGTTGGGAATTACGCAAATAAAACCCCTTATCTGGAACACTGATTACAAAATTCCTAATTACAGTATTTTGACACTTGTGTATAAAGTTAAAATCATAACTAATATTCAACATTGAATATTATTTATGATTTTACAAAATTCCTCTGATTTTTAGGCATTTTCTTGAAAGAGAAAATAAAAGATATTAGCATTTTGAGTTTCCATGTCACTGGTTACACTAGTTAAACAACACAGGGAAGGTTATGTATCTTTGGAGTCTAAGAAAAATAAGCCTTGTATGTTGTATTTAAAAAATAGCAATATGTCAAAAATAGAAAATAATAGAAATGCATTCTCAAAAACAGCATCAAATTATTCTTTTTTTTTCTAAATACAAATGTTAACACATGTAACCATAAAATATAGATTTTTGTAGTGCCCAAGAAATATTGTATTTATTTCATAGATCATTATTTGTAATGCTTGTCACAAACAATGGAACTCTACAACAGTCACTTTATAACCCCCCCCCCTCTCCTTTTACACATTTCAACACATAATGACAAGTTCCTGCATATAAAACATTTTATACACACCAAATAAACTTATCTGCTAATAACTTCTATCAAACTTGATGATTGCAAGTATTAATTTTATAGTTCAACAATGACATCTTTAACAAAAACAAATGATTTATTAGAACAATAAAACTGGCATATAAATTACCTATAAACAGGCTTTCATTTCAGACTGACTTCTTTAGTCCTATAAACATCAAGGAAGTATTTTAACCCTGCACCATTTCACTATTACTTGCATTTCAGACTGACTTCTTTAGCCCTACAAATCTCATGGATGTATTTTAGCCCCATATCATTTCACTATTACTTGCATTTCAGACTGACTTCTTGAGCCCTATAAATCTCATGGATGTATTTTAGCCCTGTACCATTTCACTATTACTTGCATTTCAGACTGACTTCTTTAGCCCTATAAATCTCATGGATGTATTTTAGCCCTGTACCATTTCACTATTACTTGCATTTCAGACTGACTTATTTAGCCCTATAAACCTCATGGATGTATTTTAACCCTGCACCATTTCACTATTACTTGCATTTCAGACTGACTTATTTAGCCCTATAAACCTCATGGATGTATTTTAACCCTGCACCATTTCATTATTACTTGCATTTCAGACTGCCTTTTTAGTCCTATAAACCTCAAGGAAGTATGTTAACCCTGAACCATTTTGCCATTACTTGAAAATTCATAAACCACAAATAATAACTTCATAAACATATACAGCCTCTAACAAGATGAGCCATCACAATTTAAACACAGACCTTTTGAAATGACTACTTAGTTTTTCACTCAGCATGGTTACATCAAGATTTATCATGAATGAGATAAAAATATTCATAAAAGATAGTCAATTTCCAATTTTTCACTGACATTGTAGAAAATTCAGACATTACAAATCTGTATTCTTCAGATTTTATCTATATGCCTGAAAGAAATATCAAACTACTGTATTACATTTCTATAATGATTCTGTTAGTTTTAGATAATGCGATGACAGAACTTAAAAATTAGCAAAAATCAGGTAGTTAGGTTATTTACAGATGCTAAGTTGGTTTAATTCATAATAGCCCTCATAATTTTGGTGAAGTGTAAAAAAATAAGAAACAAATAACATACAGAACCAACATGCTCAACAGCCTCCTTAAGTTGTTACTGAAGTAAATATGTCAAAAATGTATCTCATTACACAACTTAATATAAATTATATCTTCCTGTCAAAACAGATATTCAATAGAATGATATGACTATCACAATTTTTATCATTTATAGATTCATCTGTAGCATAATTATCATTTCATGAAAACAAAAAACAAAGGACATTAAATTCTGCAATTGATTATGTTTGTAAAAATTATCATAATTTTGTATAAAAATTCAAATTTTTTCTAAACAGAATGAACTGACATTTACTTCTAAACTTTAGGACGAAAATATATCTTCCTAGTTAACATAGAAGTTATACAAGGCACCTGTTTCATTTTATCCATTCCAGGATCAGTGGGAACACAAGATTCAAATTCGTAAGCCACCTTTCGGTTGACTATGGTCATTAAACTCTGTAAGTCTGTGTTCTTGGCATGGCTTTTTAAAACATTACACAATGCTTGAATAAACCAGGATCCATTGCTGGTGTTTCTCCAAGAGTAGAAACCAGGTACTGTAGAATAACAAATGAGAAAGTCAGCGTGGCTTGGAATTTTGAAGAACTGTGAAGCAGCATCTGCTATATCTCTCCCCTGAGCTACAACAACCCCTTTATCCAATTTATCTCCTTGACAAGCCTGTATGAAAAATATTTTTGGTTTACCTGCTAAGGTGGAGCAGACATTTCCTGTAAATGGAGAAAAGATCATGTCATTGGGAAATTTTCCATCTCTTCCATACACTAAACCATTCTCTCCATGACTTAAGATACAACAGACAAAACAATCTCTGTCTGAATGATCTTCTCTACTCACTTTTTCTAATTCATTACGCATTTCTTTAACAGTTAAATTCCTGTATAAGACAACATCAAAATCTAATGCTCTAAAACAATGATATAGTTGTTCAGCATCTCGTTCAGTTCCTTTCCTCTCATTTAGTCGTGTATGCATTTCAAAATCTTTATTATTGAAGATCAGACATTTTCCTCTCTTTGAGTGTTTCATATTATACTCATCACTGTCAACATATACTGACAAGTAAGGAGATTGAACAGAAGGTTTATTAAAAATTGTTAGGCCTCGTGCATCAGTTACATCTTCTCCATTACCATCTTGGCAGGTGTTTATTGACTGTAATTCTGAACTCATTTTTTCAAGATCTATAGGAAAAAAAAAAAGAAAAGAAAATGAGAGAAAATTAAGAAATATACATCTGTAGTTCCAGAAGGTTACTGAGAAACACTATCTTATACTCAGAATTCTTTGTGAAACATAAAATATAACCAAAATCCAGATTAAAATCTACATTCTGCACAAGATATGATGGTAACTTGGATGTAAAAATTCTCAAAAAAATACATACACAATTTTGTTTCCTACTATTTTCTCAGTTATTACAAAATAGCAACAACATTATTTACACATGTGCAAATATTTTGGTTGAAAACATTCATATGCAATTAATCTTAACAGAAGCTTCACTCTTCAGAGACACTATAATTTCTTGCATGTTATAATATATAACATGTTAGCACCACAATGTCAACCCTGTTTGAAAGCCCCATTCCGAGAAAATGTTAAGTTTTCTTAAGTCCTGATGTAATGTAGCCCTAAGACTGCTTTTTCAAAATAAGAACACCGATTCTAATGTCAAAGTTGCATAGCTTTTTCCATGTTTAATAGAGGTTTAAACAGAATGGTTTTGAAAGCATTTGTACAAATGAAAAATTATGAGCAAGACTTCTCAGTCAGACATTCTGATCATCATTTAAATTTTGGATCCTTGTAATAAATGTTACATTTTCTTCATGAAATCTCTGCTTAAGAGTAATAAATCTAGGCATATGTAATATTAAAAATTATTGTAAAGCAGCTTATGATATTATATACTTTTACATAAATACACAGAATAAACTTAATACATTTCATTATGTACACCACTTTACTTGGTGTATTTGAAATAGTGAAAAAAAAAGCTTATACTTTGCACTTTGAAACTACTAAATAGAAGTTTTTAGATATTATCCCAGAAACATTTTCATTACATGTGGATTTGGCCATTATACCTGCAAAAGACCAAAAGTTCAGAGTGCAAGGTAAACATAGAAGGCTCGAGATACTGTAGACATTATTTACTCAAGCTACAAGTCCCTATTTTGACTACACCCAAATGTAATTCTATCTAACAGCATAGAGTCAAAATAGGGATTTGTAGCTTGAGTAATTAGTGTCTACAGTATCTCCAGTCTTGTATGCTTACCTTGTTTACTATACCTATTTGCAGTTTTATTTGTTTTGTTTCAAATATTAAGCTTGTTCGTTTCTTTTTTGCAGCTTCTATTTCACTTTAAGCTAGCTATCTTGTTTCTTTATTTTATTTATGATCCCTATTTTCCTTTTTAAAATAACAATGTTTAATAATCTTGTTTTAATATATTTATCATGCCCATCATGAATATAAATGTGTACAGTAGCAAGTGTCCCATTTGAAACAGTTTAGTTTAATGAAATATGTAGTTGGTGTATTATGCTCTGTTGGGAAACAATGAAAATCTTTGGACTGGCTTCATGCAGATTACATGGGTATTGCCCCTGATATCATTGCAACAATGTTATCTTTGATAGTGGTACTGCATGTATGATCACCAAGATGCATGATGATCAACGTATCACATGTTATGTACATGCTTGTAAAATATATATGTGGCTAGTATATTCATATCCTATAGATATAATGAGGAGTCTGTAAACACTGGATTGGAAGAATTAATGAACTATAAATGGTGCATGGACTGGATTTTGTAACCGGACGAGTTTTATACTTGCATGCACGTGCAATGCATATTGGCTAGTATATGTATATATACATACAGGCTTTATACTTAGTTATTTTTCTAGTTGTTACCAAATCCCTCCTATGTTACTATGGCATTTAGGAGCCAGTACTGCACAGTAGCTGTATTGGCACAAGCAGATGAGAATGATGACACATTTCTCCTAGACTTGATGCCAATTCACCATAGGTAAACCTCCCAGCTAACATCTGGTACCCATCATACAGCTGTGCAGACTGAAACAATTGGGCTAAAGTGTCTTGCTCAAGGACACAACAGAATGTCACAAGCAAGCCGCAGATTCATAACTTTCAGACTACACGTCCACTGAGCCATCCTGCCCCAATGTGTGATTTATAATACGAGTTATCAATTATGGTATATCCTACATTTCAGTTGTTAAACATCTGCCATCTTTAGGGAAGTCCTGTGAAGGACAGTGTGAATGGTGGTAATGACCAAAATTCAGTTCTGGTCCATCTTGGTGGGCTATCCACTCAATGAGTTTCTCCCCACTTTCAACAGGATTTAACACAACCACTTAACCCTTTCCAGAGGGGTCACAAGTGAAAGGCCATGTCATCTCATTTGTTGACTCACATTC